GAAAGACAGCAGTAAGAAGGAGCCAAGGAGAAGCAGTGAAAATGCTGCAGAAGGAGTCATGAGCCCAGAGGAGGTGGCAAAGGAAGTGAGGGGGTTCGGGCGGAAAGTGGAGACGAAAGCAGACGACAGAATATTGCCAGAGAGCAGGAAAGGAAGTGAAAGGAGACAATTTTAGAGAAGAAAAATGTTCCGTCGCTACCCGGATTCGAACCCGTGACCTTTGAATGAGAGGTGAACACCTTAACCTCTAGGCCACGAGATAGATAGATAGATAGATAGATAGATAGATAGATAGATAGATAGATAGATAGATAGGAATAGAAAGAGAGAGAAAGAGGGAGAAAAAGAGTGTGAGAAGGAGGAGAGAGAAGGTGGGCGTATGAGCATTTAATGTGTTTGCGTGTTTGTGTGTATGTATGTGTGTGTGTCTAATTTGACGAGAGAAAAAAAACATAATATTATATTAATATCCTTAAATGCGTGTGAATCTACATTTTCGGAAGGCAGGTTAACTTCTGAAATATTTCGTTAGTCTGCGGAGTATAAAACCATTTGCCACCGTTTCCCTCCGACGCCCTCTCGCTAGACGAGCAAACGTGCGTCATAGGACTGACAACAGTTTGTCATAACCATTCAAGCAAAAGGTGAGAGCAGATGACAGGTGCCATGCAAAAAACAAATTGGACAAATACAAGTTGGCCTGTCATAATTGTGCTTTCTGGTGGTTTTTGCACTGTCGGTGAGCCGTTTTGTTTGGGGTTGTTTTTTGTCTGGGTTTTTTTCGGGGGGGGGGGAGTGGGTGGGGGGCTTGGGGTTCTTACGTTTTGTTATGTTTGGTTTTTGTTTTTGTTTTTAATGCACTTTGGGAAATTCAAATATTAGTTCGAAAGAGCTAAGAGAAAGTATTTTTTCCTCGTCAAAATGCAAATAAAATCGTTGTCACGATAACTAAAGGGAGCCGCTCTCGTTTGTCAAGTGGAGTGTGTAAGTGTCACAAAGATTTCGATAATCATTGTAGTAAATTATGTCCAGCCGAAAGGACACGTAAATCAGAAACAAATTCTCAAACATTCAGCTTGAAAAACTTGCTGTTTGGAAAGGGGGGGGGGTTCATGTTTAACGGCAATGTCTACGCAATTTAGATCATTTAGGAGGCGGACTTCGATACTATATCCCAGCTGAAAGATAGAGATACTTGATAGACATGATCCCACACAGGAATCGAACTCATGTCTTCAGCCTAACCACTACCCCCTGGAATAGAAAAAGTGAACCCGTAAGCAAACAAAGAGTTACAGGAGTGAGACAGGGAAAGTGGTGGGAGGGTGGAGTTTTTAGGGTACAATCTCCATGTCGGCTATATGCTCTCAAATACTGAACATTCTTAATTTCTTGGGACTCGCAATCACATACTAAGCGAAATGACGTAATAAATTAATACTCATCCACTAACGCACGCACTCAACCATAAATAATAATAAATAGCACACATACAAACACACGCCCACGCACACACACACACACGTACACACACGTACACACACACACACACACACACACACATAT